CGCTGTCAGCATACTGACCTCATCCATGTCAGGCCTGGACTCATCTAAAAAAACCCACACAAACATGCTTTTGATTAACAGTGATGTTGTGCTTATTTTTTTTGTAGACTGCTCCACAGAAAGACAAAAAGTCAGAGTCTGATAATGAATGCGTGTGGATGAGCTCACCTGGCTGCGAATACTCAAGTACAGATGCCAGGCTGCTCCTCACAAGGCTGGTCCACTGCGTCTGCACGCTCTCCATCCGGGCTATTGGGGAGGTGAAGATGGTCTTAATGCTCTGGAGGGCAGCTGCCACAGGCACTGGCACCGAGTTGTCAGGAGTCTTTACTGCAGTTTCCTTCAGAACTCCGGTGACGAGGAAAAGCACTGTAGGTAGGATGGTCATGCTTCCTAATAAGGCAAAAATAAAATGTAAACAATGGGCTGAAAACCATGACGCTCATGTTCCTTTGCTACTTATCATTAATTAATGTCACTCTCTTTGTCTCCTGGACAACAGCAGTGACCTGAAGCTGGACAGCAGGTGGATCCCGGGTCAACAGAAGCCTGTGAAGCACGTTCAGGAGCTCCACAGCCAGCATCTACAGCAGAAAGAAAAAGTAAACAACTACATTAATGTGACTGTGAAACATGTAGCACAAACTTCTCATTTCTCTCACATTTAGAATTCCAACTGTTTCAATTATGTATTTTTTTTCTCATTTAAAGTAAAGTGCTTGATGCTTTGTAACTATCTGTTCTGGTTTGTTGAAAAGCAGAAAGCATGTCCACCATAGGATACAATTTCATATTTAAAAATATGATTTTTATACTGTTCAGAAGCAATTTGTACTTCTTTGTTCAAATATCTTTATGGTTAGTGAGACGGCTGAGTGATCCCACACACTGTGCTCCAATTCAAATCCTCTGAAGTCCACACTTTGAAGCAGTCTGGTAGAGACACGTCCCTCTTCAAAGGCTTCACCAAATACAGCTGAGAAATACAACCTTCTTTTGCTGAATTTGTAGGATACACACGTGTGCCCTTTGAAGCCATCGGTACCCAATCATCTGTTCTGTGGGGGATCCTTTTCACCTTCTAAAGTCAGTAAATATCACAGGCCGGTGTTGTATTTATCAAATATTTGCAGTGAGGTGGTGCATGGTAAACAGATCACCTGAATTACACCACAATATGATTGCTGCAAGAGGTGATTTAAAGGGAAAACACTTTTTCTTATAGGACACTTGGGTGCTTGAATTTCTTTTAGTATTTTCTAATAAGTGAAAACTACATTAGTTCTTTTATAGGTTAATGTGTAACTCATATATTCATATTTTACTAATGAGATTCTACAATAGTCATAAAAGTGGTTTAAAAATTTTCTCTCTTTTTTTACCCTATAATTTAAGCCCTGTGTGTTTACCTGGTCATCTGCAATATGTGTTTTAGCACAAGGAGTCTCGAGCAGAGTGCACAGGGCCCGCAGGCACGACATCACATGTTCAATAGGCTCTTCAGGGCGGGGAAAGCAGAGAAACTCTATACTGACACCTAAGAGAAAGAACACAAAAATGCTCTTAGTCTATGTTCTTGTACATGTATTTTTCTTTCTACTACCATTCCTTCACAATTGGCCGGTGGTCCTACAGCTGTGAGGTGAACAAAAGCAGTTGCTGTTTTCTGTATTAGGTACACTATGAAGCCAGAAAATGGAAAAGTATGGTAAATGCTTTACACCGCAAATGTTAGCTATGCATTTGTTTACCTAACATTAGATGCATCCTGTCTTTGACAGACTCCTCAAAGGTCTTTATAGTGGAGGAGCCTCCCTGGGGGAGGCCAGGAGGCTTGGAGGGAGCTGATGAGACCTCCTCCTGACCTACACCTGCTCCAAACCCAGTGCTGTTCAGCCACAGGGCTACAGCATGCAGGACAGGAGCCCAGGAGCTTCGGTAGTG